CACACGTATGTCCAGGAGATGGCTGGGTGCAGGCTGGGATGGCCTGAAGCTGCTGCATGCCCAGGAAGACCGCAGCCGGACGCGGCTGGTCCGCGACTGGAGTGTGCACTGGCTCAGGCCGGCAGGTCCGGCAGGGCCAAGGCGAGGAGCATCAGCCCTCAGCACACACGCGCAGCCTCCGCAGAGGGGCAGCCAGGACCCAGCCTGCCGTCTGGGCGTGTCCTCATCCAGCACGCCACGGGCAGGGGTCCCGGCCGAGTCCGTCTCCCGTGGCCACCGGGGGCCCTGGCAGCGCTGAGCCGGCCACATGTGGCTGCCGTGTGAAGGGGGCGAGCTGGGGTACAGCCTCCGGGCCCTACCTGGGGAGGACGCTGGGGTTTCTGGGCCCTGTAGCCCACACGGAGCAGGACCTGTGGGCGGGCCCTGGGGACTGACCAGCGTGGCGGCCACTCAGGCGGGGGCATTCCAGGCTGTCACTCTGTTCTTAAAATTTCAAGTAGTTGGGGCCTCCCTGGTGGCGCAACAGGTTAGGACGCAGCACTGCAAGCTGCCTACAGCCGCTGCAGTGCAAGTTCAGTCCCTGCCCCGGAGGTGACCCGCATGGTGCCGCAGACCTCTCCTGACCCGCCCGCTGCTCCCCTCAGCAGTGGACTTCACCATCTGCCTGTTCTGCTCCCCGCTCTGCCTCTGGTGAAACCTCTCACCGCCCCTGCACCTCTGGCCTGTTCTATGTGCATAAATAATCTTTCAAAAAAAAAAAAAAATTCAAGTAGTTGGTTGAAGGCAGAAACAGTCCTTTTTGAAAATAAAGGCCAGTCCACGGAAGGGCCCGGAACAGCACCACCTGCGGCCTAAGTGCCCGGGCGAGCTGTGAAAGGGGGTGGGGGGTGGGCCGCGGCTGTGGGAGCCGCTGGCTAAGCAAAAGGGGGCGGCTGTCTCTGGCACAGGAGCCCTGAGGTGCGGTGACTGCCGGGGTAGGAGGCAGCAGGACGTGTGGCCCCGGTGACAGGTACCTCGGGCCGGCTCGGAGGGAGTGCCTCAGCCTGCCCTCAGCCCGGACGCTCGGGGCGGGAGCAGGGACCTCTGAGGTTCGGGTCGGCTTGCCCGTGGGCCCCTCGCTCCCCCGCCAGCACCTCCAGACACCAGACGCCCAGGGAGGACCCTGGCGAGGCCGGAGCAGGGGTGCCCCGACATCTTGCTTTTCGTCCGAACCACCTGAGACACACGGGCCCCTCGGCCCGACTCACCATTCTTCTCCACGGGCACACGGCAGCGGGGACACGGCTTGGTGATGGTCCTGATGGTCTCCCTGGAGGCCTCCTCCCACCGGGCCTGCTCTGCTGCCTCCGCGTCCACCCTGTAGGCCTGGGAGCAAAGGGAGGCGCTGAGCGCCTTATTGGGGTTCAGTGCAGCTCCCGTTAAAGCTGCGAAAGCCCCTGCAGGCTGCTGCTCAGACAGGAGGAGGCCAGCGGGGCCTCCGGGCACGTGCCCCGGGTGGTCCCGCCCGCAGGCTGAGACCGGGCGCTGTGCTGCGAGGGGGCAGGACAAGGCAAAGGAGGCGCCAGGAGACCGGAAGCCTGGCTGCCACAGCGCCAGAGCCGGCGTGCGCAGAAGGGGTTAACTTGGCCAGTGGCCCAGCTGCAGGACCCAGTCTCGGTCCCAGGACATTGTCCAAGCGGGCATCCGGCTTCGGGCACAGACTGGAGGTCACACGGTGGGCATACGATGCGGAGGGGGAGGAGGG